CCTGATCCTGATCCTGATCCTGATCCTGATCCCGATCCTGATCCCGATCCTGATCCTGACCTTGATCCCGATCCCGATCCTGATCCCGATCCTGACCTTGATCCCGATCCTGATCCTGATCCCGATCCCGGTGCCGATCCCGATCCCGATCCCGATCCCATCCCGATCCCGATGCCGATCCCGATGCCGGTGCCGACCCGGCTGTGCCGTTCCAGCCCTGCAGCTGCTGCTGAAGGATCCGGCTCCGGCCGTGCGGATCAAGGCGGCCGAGACCATGGGACGCCTCGTCCGCATCCTCTGAATCCCGGAATTCCCGAAATTCCCGGGAATTCCCAGCTCTGGGACCCTGGGCCACCTCAATCACCTCCTCTGAATCCTGGAATTCCCGGAATTCCCGGGAATTCCCAGCTCCGGGACCATGGGACGCCTCGTCCGCATCCTCTGAATCCCGGAATTCCCGGAATTCCCGGCTCCGCTCAGCAATACCCCGAGGGATCTCAATCCAATCCCCGAGGGATCCCAATCCATGGGAAAAGTCTTCCTGCACCTTCACCCTCGGGAACGCCGGCGCCTTCCCAGACACGGGGACAAAAAAATCGGGAAAAGGGCCGGAATTTGGGCTGGGATCCGACGGAGCCGCTTCCCGAGATCCGGGATCCATTCCCACCCCTCCACCCCCCATCCCCTCCGCTGCTTCCCGGTGGGAAACGGGATCCATTCCCGAAATTCCCACCCGGAGCCCCTGTACAGAGAGCTATTTTTAAATAAAGCTTTTGGCTCCTGATCCCGCTCCGGAATTCTGGGATTCCTCGGGATTTGGGGTTTGGGAGGGGGGATCCCACCGGTGTCTCCGTGGGGAGGATCCAGCGTTCTTCCCGGCCTCTCGTCCGGAGGGAAAAACTTTGGAATTTCCTGGCTGCTCCTGCCCCGTTTCTGTCCCACCTTCGGGTTTTCCTTTGGGATCCCGGTCCAGATCCGGTTCCAGATCCTATCCCAAATCTCATCCCAGGTCCCATTCCAGATCCCGGTCCAGATCCGGTTCCAGATCCTATCCCAAATCTCATCCCAGGTCCCATTCCAGATCCCGGTCCAGATCCAGTTCCAGATCCTATCCCAAATCTCACCCCAGATCCCATTCCAGATCCCATTGTTGATCCCATCCCAGATCCTTTTCCAGGTCCTATTCCAGGTCCTGCTCCTTTTCCTGGGATAAATCAAATCCAGGGAATCTCACCCTCTGTTCTGGTTTCTTCCAGTTTTTCCACTGGGATCCTGTTCCAGGTCCTATTCCAGTTCCCATCCCAGACCCGATTCCAGATCCTATCCCAAATCCCATCCCAGGTCCCATTCCTGATCCCATTCCAGATCCTATTCCAAATCCTTTCCCAGTTCATATTCCAGGTCCTGCTCGATTCCCTGGCCTTCTTTCCTGGGATAAATCAGATCCAGGGAATCTCATCCTCTGTTCCGGTTTCTTCCAGTTTTTCTGTTGGGATCCCATTCCAGTTCCCATTCCAGACCCAATTCCAGATCCTATTCCAGACCCTATCCCAAATCTATTCCAAAAAGCCTTTTGTGATCCCAGCGGATCCTGGGAATTCTGCCTGTGGGGAATGTGGGGATGGGATTGGGATGGGGATGTTTGGGAATGTGGGAATGAGGATGGGGACATCCAGGAGATGTGGGATGGGAATACCGTGGACATGGGGAAACTGAGGACACCAAGAGCCGGGAATTCCATCCAAAAAAAGCCTTTATTGAGCGCGGTGAATTCCGCAGGCGGCGGATCCCTCTGGATCCCTCCAGATCCCGTTGGATCCCGGCAGATTCCCATGGGAATATCAGGGGTAGGAAATGTGGGGATGGGAATGGGAATATTGGGGAATTTGGGACACGAAGATCCCGGGATTGCATCCAAAAAAAGCCTTTACTGAGCGCGGTGAATTCCACTGGATCCCGTTGGATCCCGGCAGATTCCCATGGGAATGTCAGGGGTGGGGAATGTGGGGGTGGGAATATTGGGGAATTCGGGACACGAAGAGCCGGGAATTCCATCCAAAAGGAGCCTCTATTGAGCGCGGTGAATTCCACTGGATCCCTCTGGATCCCGGCAGATTCCCATGGGAATGTCAGGGGTGGGGAATGTGGGAAGGGGACTGGGGACATGGAGGGATGTGGGATGGGAATACCGGGGACATGGGGAAACTGAGGACACCAAGAGCCGGGAATTCCATCCAAAAGGAGCCTCTATTGAGCGCGGTGAATTCCACTGGATCCCTCTGGATCCCGGCAGGTTCCCATGGGAATGTCAGGGGTGGGGAATGTGGGAATGGGAATGGGGACATGGAGGGATGTGGGATGGGAATACCAAAACACAGGGAAACTGAGGACACCGAGAGCCGGGAATTCCATCCGAAAGGAGCCTCTATGGAGCGCGGTGCCTGGCGCGGGCGGCGGATCCCTGCGGATCCCTGCGGATCCCCCTGGATCCGGCGGGATCCGGGGGCCGGCTCAGGTGTAGAGGCGCAGCGTGCCGTCGGCGCCGGCGGAGAAGAGCCAGGGCTGCCGGGGGTGGAAGGCGACGTCGAGGACGCCGAGCTGCAGCCGCGCCTCGTGGCCCCGCAGCACCTTCAGCGGCACCAGCAGCGCGTTCTGCAGCAGGTCACTGCGGCACACGGCAGAAATTCCCACCCGGAATCACGGGAAATCCCGCCCGGAATTCCCATCCGGAATCACGGGAAATCCCGCCCGGAATTCCCACCCGCAACCACGGGAAATCCTGCCCGGAATTCCCACCCGGAATCACGGGAAATCCTGCCCGGAATTCCCACCCGGAATCACGGGAAATCCTGCCCGGAATTCCCACCCAGAACCATGGGAAATCCCGCCCAGAATAACAGGAACTCCCGCCTGGAATAACGGGAATTCCCACCCGGAATTCCCACCCGGAACCACAGGAATTCCCGCCCGGAACCACAGGGATTCCCACCCGCAACCACGGCATTCCCGCCCGGAATTCCCACCCGCAACCACGGGAAATCCTGCCCGGAATTCCCACCCACAACCACGGGAAATCCTGCCCGGAATTCCCACCCAGAACCATGGGAAATCCCGCCCAGAATAACGGGAACTCCCGCCTGGAATAACGGGAATTCCCGCCCGGAACCACAGGGATTCCCACCCGCAACCACGGCATTCCCGCCCGGAATTCCCACCCACAACCACGGGAAATCCTGCCCGGAATTCCCACCCGGAACCACGGCATTCCCGCCCGGAATTCCCACCCGCAACCATGGCATTCCCGCCCGGAATTCCCACCCGGAATTCCCACCCGGAACCACGGGAAATCCTGCCCGGAATTCCCACCCGCAACCACGGCATTCCTGCCCGGAATTCCCACCCGGAACCACGGGAAATCCTGCCCGGAATTCCCACCCGCAACCACGGCATTCCCGCCCGGAATTCCCACCCGGAATCACGGGAAATCCTGCCCGGAATTCCCACCCGCAACCACGGGAAATCCTGCCCGGAATTCCCACCCACAACCACGGCATTCCCACCCGGAATTCCCACCCAGAACCACGGGAAATCCTGCCCGGAATTCCCACCCACAACCACGGCATTCCCACCCGGAATTCCCACCCAGAACCACAGGAACTCCCGCCCGGAATTCCCACCCACAACCACGGCATTCCCGCCCGGAATTCCCACCCGGAACCACGGGGATTCCCACCCAGAGCAACGGGGATTCCCGCCCGGAACCACGGAATTCCCACCCGCAACCACAGAATTCCCGCCCGGAATAACGGAATTCCCACCCGGAACCACGGGGATTCCCGCCCGGAACCACGGGAATTCCCACCCGGAATAACAGGAAATCCCACCCAAAACGACAGGAACACCACACCCGCAGCCAGAATTCCCACATGGAATAATGTGAATTCCCACGGGAATTCCCACCCACAGCTGGAATTCCCACCCAGAATAATGGCAATTCCCACACAAAATGATTGGAATTCCCACCCGAAATAACGGGAATTCCCACCTGGAATAATGGGAACATTGCACCCACAGCCAGAATGGGAATTCTGACCCAGGAATGGGAATTCTGATACTGGGAATAGGAATTCTGACCCAGGAATGGGAATTCTGACATTGGGAATGGGAATTCTGACACTGGGAATGGGAATTCTAACACTGGGAATGGGAATTCTGATACTGGGAATGGGAATTCTGACCCAGGAATAGGAATTCTGACACTGGCAATGGGAATTCTGACATTGGGAATGGGAATTCTGATACTGGGAATGGGAATTCTGACACTGGGAATGGGAATTCTAACACTGGGAATAGGAATTCTGATACTGGGAATGGGAATTCTGACACGGGAATGGGAATTCTGACACTGGGAATGGGAATTCTGATACTGGGAATGGGAATTCTGACACGGGAATGGGAATTCTGACACTGGGAATGGGAATTCTAACACTGGGAATAGGAATTCTGACACTGGGAATGGGAATTCTGACATTGGGAATGGGAATTCTGACATTGGGAATGGGAATTCTGACACGGGAATGGGAATTCTGACACTGGCAATGGGAATTCTGACATTGGGAATGGGAATTCTGATACTGGGAATGGGAATTCTGACACGGGAATGGGAATTCTGACACTGGGAATGGGAATTCCTGGAGTTCTGCCTGCCATGGGGCCCCCAAAAACGCTGCTCCCACCCCCAGATCCTAGTGGGAAGAATCCGATCCCAGATAATTCCGGGATTCCCCAAAAGTGCTGCTGCCGCCCCAAGGAGCCCAAAAAGAGGGAGCTGATCCGGAAAATCCCACAAATCCCGTAAATCCCATAAATCTCATTATAAATCCCCCAGCACATTCCATAAATCCTGTGAATCCCATAAGCCCCGTAAGTCCCATCAATAAATCCGGAAAATCCCACAAATCCCGTGAATCCTTTAACTCCCGTAAATCCCGTAAACCCCGTGAGTCCCACGAATGCCGGAAAGAAATCCGTAAATCCCACGAAGAGATGCCACAAATGCCCGAAATAAATCCTGGGATTCCCGCAGAGGGATGCCCGATCCCAGAGGGAATTCCAGGGCGGCTCCGTACCTGTAGACCATCCCGTGGCAGACGATGACGGAGCCGTCGTCGGAGCCGGAGGCGAAGAGCGGGAAGCGCCGGTGGAACGCCACCGCGCGCACGGCGCGGCCGTGGTGCCTGCGGGACGCCGGCACTCAGCGCCCGGAACGCCGGG